ATTCTCCTCTCTCTGTTTCCCCGCTGATTTGTGGGTTTTTCTGACCCAGAGCAGAAGTAACTTATAACACCCACCTTCACTTAGGATAATGCTGCTAGTCCCCACAATTATGGCTGTAGGATGTATCCTGTACTGGCCTTTTGTCAGCCACCTAGTTGATGGCCAGCTACAGGGCCTTGGAGTCATAAAAAAGAGCCTTTTTTACTTTTTTGATGAGCAGCTGAGTTTGTACCTCACCTGAAACAGTCAGCTGAAACTCTCACCATGCAGAGAGCCAGAAAACATTAAAAAGAGATCTCACTGGTGTGTAAAGTGACCTCTTTCCAGATACCCTGGAGAGCTCTTGTAATGATTACTAACTAATGCACTTACATATAGCAATGGTCAGTAAGGCAACATAATGATTTTACAAAGTGGGGGAAGATAATATTGTATCACCTTTCTTTTCTATGATACTGCAAATATACAGTGAACTTTTGCAGATTTCTGTCATTTTTCAATATGATTTTGTCTTACAGAAGGCAGAAACTGAAATTGGCAGTGATTTTCCAGATGGTATTTACTTTTAATTTTACATAAAGTCTCTGTTCCATGGCCTCTTTTTATCGTATCAATTTTTATTCACTGACCACATTCTTGTCACCAAGTTTTAGAATCACATCAAAACTAGCAGTACCATTATTGTCCTTATTCAGCAAAACACGTATGTTCCAAAATTTCCAATGCCCCTGCAGCAACAATAGTTACAGAATGATCTGGGGGAAAAAAAAATCTAATTTTTCTTGATATTCTGCCTAACACTGTACTTTAGATTTGCTGAGATTACAACAATAATATGGAAAATGTGTTTTGGCTTTTATCTTATTTGTTATCTTGATGAAGTATTAGTAGGAGCTCTCTGTGCCAGATAAAGAGATGGAATTTATATTTGACCCAAGAAAGGTAGATGAAAGCAGGCAGAAAAAAAATTATGTTAAAAGCAATCAGGTGCTCTAGAAAGATGACTTTTTATTTTGAAACACTATCTATATATATCCAGTCAAAAGATGGTGATAGAATGAGAATTTGAGCTGCACCATTTTCTCCAGCAGTATTCTCTCCATCTACCCTCTTCAACTGTTGTTCTTTTCAATTTAACTTGACTAGTGGGAGAGTAGGAACTAAAGAGTAGTGCAGAAAGTTGGACAGAGTATTTTTGTTCCCTGGAAAATCAGTATCATTTTTCTACAAATAAGGATGCTGTAGCTGTCTGGGCTCATTCTGCGCATCAAACTAAACTCAAGTGCAAATTTTTTTCCTCCATTTGCTTATTTTAAGCTCCAGCTAATTACAACTGTTTCATAGTCTTACTAAATCACCATGTGGGAATTAGAATAATAATCTTTTTCTCAGCATTGTAACTACAAGGTATTTTTAAGGGGAACCTGAAAATGCCCATAATGCACACAAGCATATGTTTCTCTGTGTGGTGCATACCTATCTACACAAGCTGACAGACACCTTATGGAAAGAGGAGAGAAATAAAGGGCATTTTTCCTGACCTTGGGGTCAGGAACTTAAGTCTTACAAAAATAAATATCTTTGGGATGAATATAAAGGCTCCTGCATGAGGCAGCTTTTTTCCAGTGCATTTTACTTGGTGAAAGAAAAATTTTGGCTTTTTTACAATACTCCCAGATGTCAATTAACTCCTTTCACAACAGCTTTGTGCAGTAAATTCCTCTAAGCTACTGGTTATCTGTCCTTTTGTTATGGATTTATACAGTGCCTAGCATAATGCTTCACTGGTGCCCAACTATTCCTGTAAGTGAACACGGAATAAGCTAAGGAACTGAGTAGATGTTAACTGCTTCAAAGTAAATTAGGTAGTATTTATCATGGACAGAGTGTTTTTAAAGTTCTGTGGGGAAGGGGTTTCTTTCTTCTCCTTTTCCTTCCCTTCAAATTTTCTCAACTCAGAGATGCGTGAACTACTTATTGAATTGCAACCTGCTGTTCATGAATCACTCAGACACTGGCCCGATTAAATAATAAGACCATTTCTATAGAAATTTACTCATTTTTTTGTTACTTAATTTTTTTTAGATGGCAGTTACAGAAAAGAAATTCAAAAATACCTTTATTTTGGGATAGAGGTTTGAGGCTGGGAGGGAAATAGTCCTTCTGCACTGTGCTAACATTATTTTAGTGTAGGAGATCCCTTGTACAAATTGGGATGCTAATTTGTAATTTTACTTGTCCAGGATAAATGTTTGTTTAACTAACTGCTGATTATAAGGGAACTGCCTCTGTTAACACATAAAACCCTGAATTTTATTGTCGTGGTTTTTGGATGTATCTTAAATCAAGATGAAACCTCCAAACACTTGAAAAAGACTAAAAACTACTTTAAACTGAAATAAAATATTTGGTTGTTCCTAAACTAAACTGTTTCCTTTCCAGTCCTTGTTCAAGCAGAAGGAATTAATTTTGAGCTGCTGCAGCTCTGAACTGCATTACCAAGAAGAGGATACTAACCACTGGCATTTAGTAGTGCTATTTTGCTTTTAGAGTAGATTCCGTGGCAGGAACGTGTATTACTTAAGAGTTAAGAGGTACTGTATGTACAAAACAGCTTTGGTAGAAGAGTGACCACAGTCACACCAAACCTGAGTGATTGTTTTTTAGTAGTCACAGATAAGTTGCATGAGCAGAATGAAGAAGTGTTTTAAGAGACATTTTAGATAAAATATAATTTCAATTAGCATATTATGCTGCTTTCTCTCATCTATGTGTTTCTATTCTAATTCAATTGTGAAAAGCTTCCATGGATTTTTTGGGTTTGTTGTTGGAAACTAGTTATCAGCTTCCATGCAATTCAATACATCTTTGGCTTTCTACCTCAGTTCATATTTTTTTTTGCTTGTATCACTGAAATGACTTGCAGTTTGCTACCTGTCTAGAAATTATTCAAATTTTAACGCTATGTTCAAGTCTGTTTCTACTAGGAAAGAGGATTTTTCCAGCAAATTTGAAAACCATGAATATGTTACTGTCAGCAAGCTTTAGAATTCTAAGTTAGGGTTTTAAGTTTGAATATTATACATTTATGAAACGTGTATACATATACATACAACATTCTTTCAAAAAATGTATCTCATGTCAAAGTTTCAGCCCTTAAGTAATTTATGCAGTAATACAACTATAAAATAGTTTAGAGTGAAAAAGGCATCTAGAGGCTGTTTTGCTCAAGGTCTCACTCATTGGGTTAATCTGGCCCTTGTCCCAGGTGAGTTTGAACATCTCCAAGGAAACAGATTCTATAGTCCCTCTGGGGAGTATCTCTCAGTGTCTGACTGCTATTACTGTGAAAAGCTTTCTCTTTATATCTAGCCACAGTTTTACTTGCTGGAATTTTCATTAATTCCTTCTTTCCTTTTTATTGTGTAGCTCAAAAAAAGTCTGTCTCCATCTTATCTACACCCTCCTATTACCTAGGTGTATGCAGTCATAATGTCCTTCCATGGCCACCTTCTCTGGGTTGAACAGACTCAGCTCTCTAAGCCTCTCCTTGTACACCGTGTGCTCCAGCCCTCTGACCATCTTAGTGCCCTCCCTTTACTGGACTGCTTTATCATAGTGCTGCTTTGGCTAGAAGTTCTCATTACTTTGCCATTAATTTGTTGTCTCTCAGATTCCTGACATCATAAATAGTAATGACTGCCATCATAAGAAGCAGATTGTGAAAGCATATTATTAACACTGAAAGTGTTCTTCTCTTTTCTGGTTTGTGTCATCCTTGGAGAACACCCAGTTGTATGTGAAGGTGCACATGCTAGTTCTAAAAGTCAAATTGCAGAAATACCTTTCCAGGTGCCAGATGGACAGAGAGCTCTCTTGAGGACTCAAGAGTTCCATATATGCAAGGAGGTATCGGCCTCCTAAGATCTATCTGAGCGGATAAATAAAATGTTGAAGAGGCTTATACTTTTGAACATCATGTAACAAAGGTATTACATAGCATGCTCTCTAAAGCATTCTTTGCTGCATATTTGGTATATGAGCTCGGTATCAGCTGTAAACATTCATTTTTCATTAATTTGTAAACATAGTGTCCTTTAATATTCATCCATTAGCACCTGCACTGTCAAAGTTACATTTTCTCACAGTTTTAGTATTTAGTTACACAATTTTCTCCCATCTTAAAAAGTATCAGGTAGATGACACTTTCAACAGAATATTCAGACAGAAGATGTCTTTTCAGTGGCAGATGAAGTAATTTCTCTTCACAGTTTTTAAGAGAAAATAGCTCCTTTGATAGTAAATGCCACAATAATGTAAAATAATTATATGTAAAGATGCTGCTGCTTTTTGCAGTTTCTTTGGAGAGAGAATATTCATAATTGTCTTAATCACTCTCAGGTTTTTGTCTTTTCTGGATGTATTATGCTGTCTTCAAGTTGTTCATGTTCCCAGTTTGCAGAGAACACATTTCTCTTTACAGTTACACTAAATGATTCTCCTTAAACACTCCCCTCAAAAAATCAGTCTATACCAGCAATATAAAACAGTAAAGCTTCATAAGAGATGAAGTACTGCTATTTTTATAGGATGCAATCTGGATTAAAATTTGCAGAGTCCTGATATGATCCCTACTTATAAATTTACAGAGTTTGTCAGAAGAAAATGCCTTATTACTGTTTTTTCAAAGCTCTCACTTTCATGTATTACACAACCTAAAAAAGAAATACTAATTCTCCTGTGAATCATGAATAAGAAGCAAATTCTTCAAAATGAAGCTTCAGGAAGGCTATGTGTTCCAGGTCTTATTTTAATTCAATCTTACAACAACAGAAAAGAACAATCATAGCCACTTTGTGGCTGGCTTTTGCTAAATGCCTGGGTTTCCCCAGGATGAATTTTACAGCAAAAAGAAAGTTTAATCAACAATTATTTTCCTTAATATTTCTTTGAAAGGTTTGTTTGATTATTTGACAAATTTCATTTTGCTCTTTTTACAGTGACAAATGAACCAAAGCAAGAGGTTATCATCTCCACATTGACCTTGCATCCAAACCCGTGGCTACCAAATTAAGCTTGCTGGTATAGTACTGAATTTTGCCTCTTGTGAGTAGGATCAGTTTGAGGAGTCTTTTGGGAAGGGTGGGGAGCTCTCTGTTGGTTGCTATGGAGGAGACAGGCACAGCTGTAGTTTCATCTCATAATCTGTCTAGCAAATGTAACCTCATTGAAAGCAGCAAATTATTAGTCTCAAATGTCTGGCTACTGATCACACACTTCCCTCTTGGTAATCTCTAACAAGAAATGCCCTGAAATATTTTTCAGTGAGAGAACTATTAGCAATCAAAGATATCTCATGATGTGAGACAGACATGAAGAATCTTGCATCCAAACTACTTTACTGTTCCAGCAAAACTGCTGAAGTGGGAACTATAATTGGTCTTGAAGGATTACCACCTCTGTTCTCAATTTCCTATAGTTCATAATATTTTCAAACTGAGATTGTGGATGGAACAGAGTTCTTTATTTGCAGTCATAATTTATGTTGTGGCATAATCCATGAGTGGATTCATGCAAAAAGACTGGATGTTTACATGATAATCTATATTTATATAGTGTTTTTCTATCTAACACTGCTTTCTCATGAATCATGCTTGTTAGATTCCACCTGTTGTCTAATCACTATGTTAGCAAATAAACTTAAGCCTCAGTGTGATTGAGGGACAAAAATCAATCTTTCTTCACTGTGTTGTGTCATTATCTTGCTATTGACTGGTTTTGCATTTAACAATTTCCAGTTTCATTTCTGTTTCTTTTCACAGTTCATGTTAGTAAACACCATGTAGAGCATTTTTTTTTTCTTAATGCTTTGAAGGCTAGAAGTGTCTCCCTGTCTCTGCCCCCAAATATTACCCTTATGATGTGTTGTGTTTTTTCATTAAAACAAACAGTGTCCATATATATATTTGTTCTACAACCAGTACTTTAATTAGATGTGAACTTTTAAGAGAAGACCTTTGGTAGTGTGCAGTTTTGAATATATGATCTCCATACACTGAAGTCCCAGACATATTTTTAACAGAGCCTTTGATGCTCTGGGAAATGCCTGCAGAGCTCTAAATTAATGTCTCCCACTGATAATTATGGAGTTGCCAAAGTTAGCTAATACTGACATAGCAGAAACATGAAATTAAATATTTTTGTAACCTTCCATAGCAAGGCTAGAGCAGAAGTCCAGGAAGAAAATTTATCCGCAATACACTTGAATCATATAGGTTCTAGTAAACAAAGAGCAGGGTAAAATTACTTGTTTTAGGTGTGATCAAAATTTCAAGAAAACAAAAAGACCTTTCATTTATCAAAGTACATAATTACTAACTATCCAAATAATGATTTTCAAAATTAGTAAACAACTTGAAGAATTTGCTTGAATTTTTTTTTATTATCTAAAGTATTGCTATATATTTTTAAACCTAATGGACTACTTTTCTGTTTAGAGAATCATTTGTTGTGCACCCTTCTAAATAGTATGGCTGTTTTGTAATTGCAGGCATACTGAAATCAAGAGAGCCTATGACTAAACAAGAATAATCCAGCCCAGTTTCCTCCTATCAATTCATTTTCTTTAGGCTGAAGACCCTATCCTTTTGCTTGAAAGAAGCAATAGTGCTTGCCTGCTTCTTTTGACAACAAAGGAATATTATCTCAAAACGAGTCATCTACTCTATTTTTATTGGCCGCTGCTGTGTTCCACTTTTACATCATGAAGATATGATCCTGTATAGAAGCCTGTTAGGAATGACAAGTGTCATCAAATGATAACAAGTGGTTTGATAAAACAAGGAAGTATAAGCTGCTAAGAAAAAACAGGAGACAAGAAGAGAGGAAGAGACCAAAGATAAGAAAGCATGATGAAAAAACACCATAGCAACAAATCCCCCCTGCCTAATTCAGTAAAATGTGCAAAAGAGATTAATTCTCCTCTATGAACCCAGCTAAAATTTGAACCTGCCTCTCAATTTGGCTGCTGGGACCCAGAGAAACAATACCATTGGGAGATTTCTGAAAAACAACAGCCAAAAGCATCACAGTCACACAGAGTATATGGGCAGGGGTACAGATAAAGATGGTGAGGAAGTCAAAGTCTCTGGAGACTTAAAGTGAGCAGAAAGCTTGTGCTTGTTTTTAAAGGTAAAGTGTGGTTGCATGAAGTAGAGAAGAAAGTACTAAGGGTCCAGCTAGGTCCCAAGCTAAAGTCAGAACACCTTTCCTAGCATCACATGATCTCCCAAAAAGCTCCCACACTCTCCCCTCTCCCTGGGTTGTTCCCCTGTGCCATCTCCACGACTGACTGTCCTTGGCCAGAGCTGTAACAATACAGCTGCCTGGCTGGAGATGTTCATTCTTCACTTCTTTCTGCATTGGAACTGAAATAGCCTGACCTGAAACCATTGTTATCCCTGAGAAGTACGTAATTTTTGGCAGTATAACAGAAATGGACATATATATGCAACTATATATATTCTTACTAGCACTTCAATTAGAAAAGAAGATTAATCTGCCAAAAGGAGTGTGTGTAGTAATGTTTGAATTAACACTGAGTACATTTTCAGTGGAAATATTCTTTTTGATTACTGACACTTAAGTGTCTCAGTGAATTATCCCCATAATGTTTTCTTGGGGAATATTTAGTTCTTGTAAAAAACAACTTGTGAACTATACCTCTCCAAACCATTAGGGTGTTTTGCCATACAACAGTTACATACAAGTTGTAAGACAGTGACAAGACAAATGGAAAAGGTTTTATTGGAATAACTATTGCTTGAAAGAAAGAAAATTATAGTGAGGACTGCAAAGAAGAAAATTACATGTTGTCACCATTTATTTCACACAGGAGAAAAGTTGTGGTTTTCAATGCTAAGTGTAACTGCAAATTTGAAGAGCCTCATACAAACTCTGTGTAATTCCAAATAAATAAAGCTGCATTATAAGCCTCAAGATAAAAATTCAAAATTATGAACCACCATCATGATTCCTTATTTCCTTGTGACTATTGAAGAAATACTGTCTAAATCAGATTCAGAACATGCCTGCTCTTATACCTAGAATACAGAATAATAATTGTCTATGACATGAGAAAAGAGTCCTTTCAAGCATCACAGGCCTACCCAAAAATATTAGAGAGGGTAAAATGAATTTCAGGAATTATATAGGATCAAACAGTGCTGCTACAGCTCTATCTCTGCAAAGTTACTGCCAGAAAAGTAGAGGGAATGTTTGCACCTTAAAGTTAGATGTTTAACATGCCCATCATATGTCTTGAAAAAAAGCTGTGTGTCAGTGCACTTACATGTTGAGCCAAGTATGCCTTTTCTAAAGTCATAAATTACATGGTTTAATTGAAATCTATTTTAAAATCAATTCTGTTAACTCAGTGCCTCTGAATTCACTGACGCAAATAGAACAGGAAAAAACAGGTTTAAGCTGATTAAAGAGACTGAACATAAAGACTGAATACAACCCCTTTTCTCCTGTAGCCTGAGCAAATGCAGATAGGGTGGATTTATTCATGAGAAACTTAAGGCTAATGCTACAAAATTTTGTTTTTCAGGACAAGGAGGATAACCAGAACTTACTGGGACAGTTTGCTCTGTTTTACTTCTGTTTGCATCATGCCTCACTTACATCATTTACTCTCACAGGCATTAAATTCAGAAAAAAAATTATTTTAAATTCCATTTCAATGCATCATGAATAATTTTCCCTTAAGAAATGACAGCTTAGAATCACATGAAATTGCTTCCAAAAAGAAGCAAGATACCTTGCCAGGTATTAACTAATTTAGAATCTCTTAAATCCTTCAGAAGAAACACAGAAATCTCAGATGCTCAGCTCAGCATCATGTCCAGAAATTGGTATGAATGCGAGAAGACCAAAGAGGGTACTTGGTAGCTCTCATCTCACACAGCACAAAGGGAAGGACTTCTTCCTTTCTTTGCTTCACATGTTGTCTCCAGCATTCACTGTGTATCAAAACCACCTACAAACTCCTACAAAAAGGAATATTCATAATCTTACACTCCATAAAATTCAGCAACAGCCTTAGGGTTTTTTCTAGAGGTTTCTGATGCAGTCAACATCAGCAGGCTTGTACTGTGATTATATAGTTTGATTTTCTCTTTTTTAAGTACTATCCTTCTGCAAGTATCCCAAATGTTTTCAATCTTATCCAATTTCTCATCAGCAAAATCCTATGCAGCATTCTTTTATGGTTATGACTGTTTTTCAAGTGTGGTCTCCAGTGTAGCTGATGATTCTTGTAGGACATTTCAGTACTGAAGGCACCAGGTACCTATAGGCCTTTCAAGATTTCAACTTCTCTCCTCATATCCTCTATTTCCATTAAGAAAAAAGGATGCATAAATAAGAAAAATATTTTCCCCTATAGTATTTTCTCCTGTTGATGCATACAGAAAAGAATCAAAAATTCTGATTTCATATTTGGCTCCTTACCTATTGTCATTCCAGTTCAGTTGTTAAAAGCTTTTTTACTACAGCACATTCTGGCTCTTTTTGATAATTGCAATTTGTGTATTGACTTCAGCAGAAAAAAAGCAGGACTTTGATAAAGTTACTTATCTAGGTACAAAATGCATTTTTTAAAGTTTGGCAGCAATGAGGTAAAAAGCATACTACCCTTCACTGTTGCCAGGCCAACACACTGGGTTTTTTTAAGATCAAGCTCAGCAATGACAATTGAATGGGCACCAAATCACAGTAACATGCATTTCTTCTGCTTCCTCCTTTCTTATTTAACAGTGTTTCATTACAGATTTTAGTGCTTCATTAGCATACAGAAAAAAGTTATTGCCACACTCCATTTTGCTTTTCATTACTAAAATAAATTATGGTTCTTGAAATTCACAAAGCATTGCCACTTCCAGTGGTCTAAGTATATTAAGCTGTCTTCTTGGGAAAAAACAATAAGGCCACATCAACAAGACTGACATTTATTTCAATCTCCTACTCTAAAATCTGTAGTTAACAAGGTCAAAAAGCATTGGGTGAATTATGGGACAAGAATTCTTTAGATGATTTGCAGCAGGGATTTATTATGAAGCCAAAATTGTATTGTCAGGGGGAGGCAGATATGTAGTGAATATGAGCAAAAAAAGCAGTCCATCTACTTTACATGCTGTCAGGTGTTAAAGGCAGGAATGATTCACAACTGCAAAAATGGTGCAATTCTGAAACTATAGGAATTATTTCCTCTTGTATCAACCTTTGAGAAAAAATACCTTTGCATATGGCTTAAGTGTGGAAATAACTAGTTTTTCCTCCTCTCTAAGACTGGAAAGTATTACCCTATGCCAAATTAAACTTTGCAATGAATAACTGACATACATAAGAATAAATTTGCTTGAAGTAGATCAAACCACACATTTTAAACTTGCCTACAAAGGGTTTCCTCACTGAGATTTCCTTTTCTCTCTTCCAAGTAATGGAGGTTTCACAGGCCTTTTTTTAAAAATTCTTCTTACATTCTACAGGAGTAGGAGGTCTTGCATGTAGCTTCACATTCCTCTTGAAAAGCTGTTGCAATATGGATCAGGAGTAAGAGAATGTTCCAAGAGGCTAGAGGACAGCCTACAGGGTTGGATGAAAAGCCCATCCCAAACTCTCCAAGAAGAAACTGAGAAGCTAAAGGGAGGCTCCTGTTCTCTGTAGGCTTTTTTGGATCTTTGGCCTCATCCAACATAAGTTGTTTGATGCCAGCTCAAAGCATGTTCCCTGCTTATTGTTATACCAGTGCTAAGTGATGTAATAACTGATCTGAAATAGTTTGCAGCATAAAGCAAAGCAAGATCTCTGAAAGTCCTGCTTGGCTGTTTCACCAAAGCTGTGAAGAGAGAATCCGGGAAGGAGGTGCTGCAGGGCATGTGCAGAGATTGAGAAGTGGCTGAGTCACCCTGCTTGAAAACCAATCTATGTCTAATTAGTGAATTCTTGTCACAGCCCTGGAAGGTATATAAGTATTGGGGCTCAGTTTTCCAGCAGTCTGGGATGGAAAGGAACAAAGTCTACTGTGTTTTAAAAATGCCTTTGACCACTTGAGTGAAGGCAAATTAGGTAGTAGTAGCTGTGAATGTGCCTTAAAAAGTACAACTTAATGCCCCTGCTGGTTATAGTTGCAGTCTACATGATACAGAAGCCTTATATTTACTGTTCCTGCAATGCTTTATGATTTTATTAAATTTCACATCCACAAACTGCTATTTCTTGGAACACCTAATGGGATATATGCTGGAAAGCTGCTAATGGCTGGGTTACTCATAACAAAGGGAAGAGATTTGTGTTTAAGTATTGTAGTCTTTGTTTGATGGGTCTTTGAGCAACCTGGTGTAGAGGAACGTGTCCCTGTCTATGTGGTGGGAGGGTTGGAGCTAGATGGCCTTTAACGTGGTTCTTTCCAGCTCAGGTAATTCTATGATTCTTTCAAGTATCTTCTTATGAGAGAGACTCTGTCTGACATGTAAATAGGTGTCCACTCTCTCCTAGCTCCTGAGAAACATATGATGTGAGATGAATGACAGCAAATAGCATCTGAACACAGCACAACAGAAGTAGTACAAATATAGATTTTCAAAACATACAATGAATTTTCTCCTCCCAGGGTCCAATTCCTTTACACTACTATTTACTGGGTGAGTGGGGATAGCAAGGAGGCTTGTACAGCTCCTGTTAGAACAAAAAATTTAAAAAGTTAGCCTTGTGCTCTGAATGAAACTGGACTTGGCAGTCTCTAGATTTATTGTATGTTTAGCTGATAAATATACTAATCATGAAAAAATATATTCCTGACAAGTGGAATAATATTATATACATGTATTCTTTTGGGAATATCTGCTGAACCTGGGAATCAGATTCAGTGTCTGAGATTACCATGTATTTCTGGTCACTGCTTAAAGCAATCTGTCCAGAACACATTATTTCTTTGCACTCTAGGCTTTTATTATCTAGCAAGAAGAAACTTTTTTCCCCTTCTGAGTAGATGTCACTTGAATATAACCAGAAGAGCCAAAACTGATTTTGAGCATCTTGAAAGAACCTATTACACAAATAAAGTGCACTTTAGGGCTTCCATACTGATGAGCTGAAAGAAAGACACTTTCAAATTGATGCATGCTTGGGAATGCTAATGAGCAGTCTTGGACATATGACTAAACAGCAGCGTTACAATGCTGTTGACTAGTCATCTTCTCCAGGACGTGTCTGCCAAACAATAGCTAGCAATTTTATTTTTATTACAGAATCTTCGTCTGCATATGGTATTCCTTTTTTTTCTTATTTTTTCTCTTTTCTCTCTCTTTCTTTTCATTGTTATTTTATTTTTCTTCCTCATTTTCAGCTAACTGAATATTAAAAAGAAACCCTATTAGTAAAAAATTATTGTTTATGGTCAATCCTTACATTAAAATCTCTGATATTTTTTTAAGCAACAGAAGCAGCAGCAAAAGTTCAGAAACATTCTATAGTTTCTCTAACATGGAAGTAGGGCATGTAAATGGGGAAATAACTTCACTTTGATAAGAAGTACTTCATCCTTGGTTAACTGATTTCTTCATTAAACCACAAAATGTATGTCAAGATTGCTTTCAGATATAACTATTACAGCTGTATTTCACAGAATTCTCAACATTTCAATAGCTCTGGCTGGAGGAGTACGTAATATTCCAAGTATCTCTAGGTATACATATATGTCTGAAACCACTGAAGTTACCCCACTTTTCTAAGATCCAGTCTGGATTATTTTTAGCACATTACTTCTAAAACCTGCTGAATGCTTAGCCTTGCTAGTTACTCTCTGAGCTTTATTAGGGTGACACCTGAGGTTGTCATTTCAGGACTGTATTCCTTATATATATGTTTTTCCCCTGTCAAAAAGATGTTACCAGTCTGTAGGAAAATTAATACCCTAAAATGCCAACAACTGGAAAAGCCCAACAGCTTACAAATAAAAGGGATGATATGCTGTAACAGATAGAAGCTTTATGATGCATTTATATTTTTGATGGATATGAAAGGTTAGGGGCCAAATATGAGACTATATGGCCAAATACATTATGTTAGCAGTGACAAACATGACAGCATGGTAAAATTACAGAGAAATTAAAAAATATTTAAAGCATTAGGGCAACAAATAACTAAGAGCATGGGATTGTCCATTTTCTTTATTAAAGAAGCTTATATTGAGAAAATACACCTTGGGAAATGCATAAATAAACCAAGAAGATGAGCACTAAAGACAAAACTGCTGAGTTCAACTAAGCTATAATTTCTTGGTCCAGGGACCATCAAAAGGAAAAATCAGTGTCATCCAAGGTTAAATGTGACTTAAAACTCCTAAGCAGCAATAACTGTCCATACAGGAAGAAATGACAGAGTTGTTCCATTACACTGAACATAAATTAAAACCATTTGTCAATGAGTTCTAATGGCAGGATAGAGTGACTTTTATGCAAGTGAAGTATCTTGAAGAAGCAACTTCTCATATATTGACTATAAGTTTGAATAACCACCTTTATGTTAAAATTTCTTCCAGAAGACACATTTTTTATAAATCAGTTCTTCTAAAAATATCTGTATTTTGTTATCAACAAAGGAGTTATTTAAATGCATTTAAAGACATTTTCCAGATTTGGTTCTTTGTACACAAATATGTGAATAATTTATGCGGCTGAATGTGAGTTTACAAATCATTAAAAGTTTGCACAGCCAGAAATGCATTCCTGAAATCTACATTTTGCTTACATAAAAAATTGTCATGTTAAAGTCTGTTAAAATTGGTCATGCTTATGTATCAAACTTTATTGTAGTTGTCTTATGATGTCAGAAATGTTTGTGCTAGTTTCTTTACTGTCATCATGTCATTACTTTATAAAAGAGATGTGATAGGCTTAAACATTCTGCTTATCTAACTCATGATTGACAACTGGACTTCTGCACTGCCAGATAAACACCTATCTTCAAGCAACATACTATTCGAAAAATTTAACAGGTTTCAGTTATTCATAATTGCAATTGCTGAAGCTGTAGCCTAAAAAATATACTGTATTTCTTTAGAAGATGGTGTCTTCTGCAAAGGTGCTTTATGGGGAGAAACTGCTGTGTCATTGTTGAGGTATGAGAGTGGGCATACACCCACAGCCATATCCAGGGTTTTCTATCTAAATACAAGGTTTTTATAGTGTGAGTCAGCTGGGTCCCTGAGAAAAGAGAGGGTGAGCACAAGAAATGATAAGGTAGGAAAATCTTACTCTTGAATTACTACATACCACAAGAGTTTACTGAAATTGCTATTTTAAAATCCAGTTACTATAAGTTGTGTGGTCCAATAAAGTATGGCTAAAGTATGTCTGTTTCCTAGCCCTCATTGCTTTAAAAATGTCTAGTCCTTCAAAATATCAGAGGGGATGTATGTACTTTAGCCATTAATGATGACTAATGCTAAAGCAAAGATGTTAAAGGTTTTAAATCATAAAATCGGAACTGATATTTAGGAAAAGGAGAAAGTTCAGCTTTCACCCCTTTGAAAGGTCAAATG